AGGACATGGCGGGGTTGCGTCACCCCGGCGGTGACATGAGATGGGGACGACAGACACGGCGATGGCGACGGGTGGTGACAGCAGCGCCGGCTGGGGGCGGAGGAACCCCAACCCCAAAGCAGCCCCAACCCCGGGGGGGCACCGGGACGCCCCCAGCAGGGTCCCTCGGGGACACCGGGGTCCCTTGGGGGGACGTGGGGACGTCCTGGTGCCACGTCACTGAGGGACGGGGGGACGTGGGACGGACGGGGGGACACCTCCCAGTGCCATGTCCTCGAGGGACATGGGGGCACGGGGGGACGGGGGGACGGCACGACTGTGTCCCCAAGGGCCACCTCCCAGGGGACATGGGGATGTGGGACAGACAGGGGGACAGCATGGCTCCGTGTCCCCAAGGGCTGCCGGTGTCCCTTGGGGACATGGGACAGACATGGGGACAGGATGTCTCTGTGTCCCCAAGGGCCATTTCCCTGTGTCATGTCCTTGAGGACATGGGGACACGGGACAGACATGGGGACACCATGACTCCATGTCTCCAAGGGCCACCTCCTGGTGCCATGTCCTTGAGGGACATGGGGACATGGGACGGGCAGGGGGACAGCATGACTCTGCGTCCCCAAGGGCCACCAGTGTCCCTTGGGGACATGGGGACACCTCCCAGTGCCACGTCCTCAACAGACATGGGGACATGGGACAGACGTGGGGACACCCCACCTTCATGTCCCCAGGGGTCACCAGTGTCCCTTGGGGGACATGGGGACAGAGGGGGGGACATGGGACGGTGGGACAGACATGGGGACAGCATGACTCCGTGTCCCCAAGGGCCACCTTCCTGTGTCATGTCCCCGAAGGACATGGGGACACAGACAGACATGGGGACACCCCGACTTCATGTCCCCAAGGGTCATCAGTGTCCCTTGGGGGACATGGGGACACAGGAGGGACATGGGATGGACAGACATGGGGACATCTCTCAGTGCCATGTCCTTTGGGGACATGAGGACATGGGATAGACGGGGGGACACCATGATTCCATGTCCCCAAGGGCCACCAGTGTCCTTTGGGGACATGGGGACACCTTCCAGTGTCATGTCCATGGGGACATGGGATGGACAGGACATGAGGACAGCCTGACTTCATGTCCCCAAGGGTCACCATGGGGACACAGAGTGACATGGGGACATCTGGGATCTGTGTCCCCAGGGGTCCTCCAGTGTCCCCAGGGGACATGGGGACACCCCAGATCCATGTCCCCAAGGTCTTCTGTTGTCCCTAAGGGATGTGGGGTCACAGAGTGACACTGGGGACACCCTAGATCCATGTCCCCAAGGGTCCTCCAATGTTCCGAGGGGACATGGGGACATCCCAGATCTGTGTCCCCAAGGGTCCTCTGTTGTCCCCAGGGGATGTGGGGACACAGAGTGACAGGGGGACATTTGGGATCCGTGTCCCCAAGGGCTCCTAATGTCTCCAGGGGACATGAGGCTCTGTTGGATCCATGTCCCCAAGGGACACAGAATGACATGGGGACATCTGGGATCTGTGTCCCCAAGGGCTCCCAGTGTCCCCGAGGGACATGGGGCCATCCTGAATCCGTGTCCCCAGGGGATGTGGGGACACAGGATGACATGGGGACATCTGGGATCCGTGTCCCCAAGGGCTCCCAGTGTCCCCAGGGGACACGAGGCCATCCCAGATCCATGTCCCCAGAGTGACACGGGGCCACCCGGATCCGTGTCCCCAAGGGCTCCCAATGTCCCCGAGGGACACGGGGCCACCCGGATCCGTGTCTCCAAGGGTCCTCCAGCGCCTCCCAGGGGGACGCAAAGGGTGACATGGGGCCATGTTGGACCCGTGTCCCCAAGGGCTCCCAATGTCCCCGGGGGACACGAGGAGGGGGGGAGGGCGGGGACGCCCCGACGGGAGGGGGGGGACGGGGACGGGGACGGGGACGAGGACCCACCTGGCGCGTCACCCGAGGCCGGGGGTCCGTTGCCAGCGGCCGTGCCGGCGCGCGCTACCTGACGGACAGCTAGGATGAAGAGAGAACCGGGGGTCAGCGCCGCCGCGGGGGGGCACTTCTCGTCCCCACGGGGTGGGAGGGGGGCGGGGGGGCGACGCCGGGTGGGGACACGCCGTGTCCCGGCCGTGGCTTTAATGGGGGGGGAGGGGGAAGGGGGTGTCCCTGAGGTCGGGGCGTCGTCACCCCCCCAACCCGCGGAGGGGGTCCGGCGTCGGCTCCGTCACGCGGGGTGGGGGGGCTCCGGGGGTGGCGCCGGCCCTGCGGCGGTGGCCGGGGGGGGGCGGGGGGGGGCCCTACGGGGTCCCCGTTCTGCTGGGGTGGCCCTGTCCCCCACCCTGGGGTGGCTTCGTGCCCCCCGGGGGTGGCGTTGTACCCCCCCAGGGGTGACGGTGTCCCCCCCAGGGGCGGCTCCGTGCCCCCCTCCCCCCACAGCGGTCCCTGTGTCTCACCCTGGAGGTGGCCTTGTCCCCCCCCAGGGGTCGCAGTGTCCCCGTGGGGGTGGCCCTGTCCTCCCAGGGGACGGCTCTGTGCCCCCCGGGGTCCCTGTGCCCCCCCCAGGAGTGATCACGAAAACCCCAGTTGTCACCACATCCCCCTCGAGGTGGCCATGTCTCCCCAGTGACCCCCCACGTCCCTTATGGGATCCCCATGTCCCCCCCCATCACCCACGGGTAGCCCTGTCCCCACCCCAGAGG